GAGAGAGAGAGAGAGAGAGAGAGAGAGAGACTCAACGTTCACATTCGACTCTACTCTCCACATGCACAAAAGACAAAAAATATGGCGGCGCATCTTTCCATGTTCTTGCAGAAGATTCGTTCTCATTTTGCACTTTTGGAGAGTAGTGCATTGAGGCCCATTCTCTCGCTCTCTCTCTCAATCGCGGATGAGTCTTCCGCGTTATCGCGGAAGATTCATCCGCATTTGAGAGAGAGAAAGAGAGAGAGAGAGAGAGAGAGAGTCTCTCTCTCTCTCTCTCTCTCTCTCTCTCTCTCTCTCTCTCTCTAAACCTCTACGAGAATGAATCTTCCTCTTTGTCGAGGAAGATTCATTGTCATAGGGCACGTCTGATTTCCTTTCTTTTTTTTTTTTCCTTTTGCTGAACGTTGAATGTAATGTTTTTGTTTTTTTTTGTTGTTTTTTTTTGTTGTTTTTTGTTTCTGTGATGTCCTACCGGTTGTCTGAGGCTCGGCCATAAAGTCCGAGGCTCGGGAATCATCGGGCTACCGGTAGTCCGAGCTTCAGACTCTATAGCTGAGCGAGGTACTGGTGGTTTAAACTTGGACAAGGCTCAAAGAGGAGACTGTGAAAAAATAAAGTAACGTTCTCAGCCTCACTCATTCATTCAAGCAGGCGAGACAAATATGTCGCACATGTTATGATCCTGGCCAATTTGGACGTACACATTATGAGAAAGTACAATCCCGTCCAATTGCTAAATTTATGAACTTGAGAGGAGGGAGAGGGAAAGAAGAAAGAAGTAGATGAAAGAATGAAGAAGAGGAAGATGTGCACCAGCAAAGACCAATGATAATTCCCTTCTTCTCGCCAATCACTCTCCTACTTTTTTTCTCCTCCCCTCTTATTCAAACAATAAATAATGATAATAATGTTGAATGGCTGAACCAGAATCAATGTCCGAATCTCTCTTCTACTGCAGGTGCAACATGAGGTCCACCATAGCCATGGCCACCCTTCTCCTTCCTCTTCCTGAAGGCCAAGGCTATGGCGGACTGCTAGGGCCAAAATACAACTCAAAGCATCTATGGCTGCTCTAGGTCAGGCCGCGATGCCTGACTCTGCCTCGGAGCTTCTTGGTGTAGCTCTACCCCAACTGGGGCCTTCCAGGTGCAGCGCCCAGCATGGTGATGAAGATGATATCCGCCATAGCCAGGTAAGTACCCCTGGCGCTCCCCCTTCCTAGTCCTTGCTTTCCTCCTCCTCCAGCCCGTGGTCCTCCACCATAGCCGAAGTGGTGAGCTGGGCGCTCCTTCTTCCCCAGCACCACGGCTCCAGCCAGCGCTCCAACCAGTGTGTCGCCAAACTTGCACACCGAGAATGAGGAGGAGAACTTTGCCCCTCCTGGAGATATAGCGGCCTGCTTGCCTCTTGGGCAGTGACTTCCTAGGCCGCGCAGCCTCCAAGCAACCGGTACCTCCTCCCTTTCGGAGGGAAACATCATAATGATTGCAGACTCTGATATTGCCCGTACAAGCCCTAGACTCAGACTGGTTGGACTGGTATCTGCCTAGGCTTAGCCTACAACTACTGGGCTCCAAAAATGCCAACTTTTGTCTTCTTCTGCTCGGCCTCGAATACCCGGCACATCTACCTCTACTTGGTGGTATCCGGCCTACCTGCTACTTCAGTGGTTTTCTGCTGCTCTAAGTGTTGCGGGCCTCTTTCCCCGCCACTTGAGTGGTTTTCTCCCTGCAATCCTCAATGTCGCGACCACAGGTAACTGAGGTAAGTACTGGCCCTTCAGGCCATCCGCACAGACTAGTACCCTTGCGGGTCACACACACACTTAAACCGGCAAGCACTCAGACAGGCACGCAGACCAGTAACCACGCACACACTCAGATTAGAAAACTCAGCAACAAGCGGGAAACTCAGTAAGGCATGCATTCCATAAGCAAAACTCAGAAATCAGCCGTGTGCCTCAGTCCGTGTTTGGCAGGTAGTTACATCATGACATAGCGGACTACCTGGTCCACTGCATGCAGATACTAGGAAGAGAAGGACAAGAAACAAGGGGCTGTGGCAGGTTGTTGGATGCACAAAGGCAAAACGAAGAGTCACCAGACCAGGGTGTCGACCAGCGTGCATTAAGCCACAGAAGTTTCAGGTAAACAGTGCAAAACTGAGACCAAGCTTAGTGCATGTGAACTCTGGAAGCACAGAAGCAAAGACCCATGATGCAGGAATCCATATAGCAGATAGCACTGTACCAAAAGCACACTGTAGGAAGCTGTGGGAGGTTGCAGCAGGCTGTCAAACTTCGGTCGAGGCCCACATATTGTGTCATGATGTCCAGTTATGGCACAATAATAACTTTATGATTGTAATGAAGGACAACCTAACCATCATTTCGTACAAGTGATCGAATGTGCACCAATGCATGCCTTAGTGACGATTTGGTGTGAAGGTTCGAGAGCTAACATCCTCGCTCAAACAGAACGCACCCTCATTTCGGCTGTACCTGACTAGGAATACAGCTTGTATACATTCATTATCAGGATGTGTTTTGTTCAGGGGAAGACGGTAGCTTTTTATTGGGGAAAGAAATGCTCAGAGAGCTATAATGACTCCCCCAAAAGGAGACCAAGTAACTGAAAGAAACGAGAAGAAGGCAAATAATGAGCAGCAGAAAACCCCTTCCTCCAACCCTGGAGGGAGAAACTGACCAAATGGAAATAGCCTGCTCCAGCAGGAAAATAATTATTAGAGTCAGCAGTGGGCCCCTTACATACTTTGGCCCTTGTGCTAGGCCTCTATCCCAGTGGTATAAGATGCTTCCACGCTCCCACAATCTCAGGCTACACTGTTCGCATAGGTAGAACGAAGATCTCGATGTGCCCACCATCTTAGAACAGTGCACACTGTACTCTCAATAACTTAAACCCGCTCAATGGCTTCCTGCGGCTGGACGTTTCTAGGACCCTAGTAGGGAGTAGGATAATGGTCCGCAAAAGGCTCCTCGAATCTCAGTTTTCTGTGGATGGTGGAGGGTGTGACTTGCCCTCATGATTTTCTGCAACTCGTCAATGAGCTTTGCGGTGTGCTCACCTCTCTCTAGATCCCTTCCCCCTCTCTGACTCCTCCCTCCCTTGAGGTCCATTTTCCTTGCCCAAAGCTTCAGTTCACTCATTGCGTCAAGTGCCTGCATCCTCATCTCCTTCTGCGACTCAGTCTGCTTTTTCTTTGCCTGGGTATGTGTCGGTGTGTGTGTGCTCATTTGTGTTTCATGCAGATGCTCTCGTTGGATCATGTCCACGAGGATCTCAGCCGCCCACTCTTCGACCTTGCTGTTGCAGTCTGCTTCCCAATTCTCGAGCTCAAGTTGTGAGAGCAGCTTGTGAGAGGGAGGTGGTATGGTTATCAGTTTGACCAGTGACGGAAAGAGTATGTCCAAGTGCTCCGGATCCATCAGGACCTGATGCTGATACTCTCCTGACTGCAGAAGACTGTGAATGATTCGTACAGTGTTTCTCCTTCCCAGAATTGCATTCACTCTTATCTCAAACTGGTCCTGGGCAATCTTGTTGCCCCCATCTCCGGTTATAAAGGGGTTAATGTTCTCACTAAACCTGAATGCCGGGCGCCAAACCGGTTTTCCCATGGAGTCCCAGAATAGCCAGTGAACTCGGGCCTCCAAGTTGCGAAACAGCAGGAAAATTCCCTCTTTGACGGATCCAACTTGTTTGAAGACGAAGTCCATACAACACGCTGCTGTTTTTCCATCGCTCTGAGTCCACTTTTCAGATTGAGATTCACCATCGTTCTCCGCAGTCAACTCTTTCATACAAGTCTCAAGGATTGGGCTTATGCTTTTGAACAGTGTGAGGAAAAAGTCTTTCTTTCTGACCCCTGGAGACAAAATGGCCCCAGATTCTCCCAGCGAGTACTCGAACAACTCTGCTAAGAGCCCGGCTGCAGCTATGACAGACCTATGATTGTACTGGGGCTTTGCTGACGCTGCCTTCTCCTGGGAATCCTGGATCCACCAGGAGTTCTTGCGGCCTTCCACAGAAAGCGACTCTGCGAACTTGCGGTCAAAGGCCTCTCCTGTCAAGTCCTTGCCTTTGATCGGGAACCGGACTGCACGGATGTGGGTAACGTTGAAGACGAGCAACAGTCTGAGGCAATCTACTCCTCCTGGAGAGGTACAAATCACGCCCTCGAGAACGGATTTATCGTTTGAACTGCAGAATAGGTCGCGAAGGGCCTCGATGACTTCAAAGGCAAACCATCGAAACTCCCGGGCACCGACTGCTTGTCGGCAGAAGCAGAGGCACTGCAGCAGCATCTCTGCAATTTCCTTGTCGATGTCCCTTATGTTCTGCGAAAGGAGGATCTTTGCCAAGTGAAGCTTTGACAAAACCGACAGCGAAGATGGCAATGATGGGGATAACGACGGAGTTGACGGCGGGTCGTTTTTGTCCGTGAGACAACGGGCGACTAGTGACTTCAGCTCAGTGATTTCGTGGACCTTAGAGGAGTCCAGACAGCAAAGAGGAGGAGGGAAATCGGCGGTTTCAGTCAGTTTTTTGTCAAATCTATGCCAGTAGATCATCCTACTGGAGAAGAGAGAGGATAAGGTCCTGACAGAGTCCGAAATGAGAGTAGAATTGCTAGGCAGCTTGAATTGATTGGTCGCATACATCAGCAGCGTCTTGACAGCGGCTGATGAGCCCAGGACAGAAGTAACAGTGGCCACCCACACTTCGTGAGCCCGTTCCAGATTAGGATCGCCAGTCCGCAGAAGCCAGCCGGTGGGGCACAACGTTGTGTAAGCATTGGCCAGTCTGGTACTGCTGTTCCTGTGCTGGCGGATAGGAGACGAAGCGACAGAACGCTTCCGCGCAGCTGGGTTTGAACCGTGGTCAGATTGCTCCTGGAAAACATTTACAGAGCATAACGAGCTGTCTTCGGAGTCTTGTGATTGTCCATGGGGTTCACGATCTTCAGACTGCGCTTGTGTATCCATTGCGTCATCGTGACCTGTGGATACCACCAAATCTCTTTCTCCTGTAGGCATACCAGTGGGTATCAACGGAATGAGAGTGGTCCCAATGGTCCCATGGACCTCCGTGGGAATCTGGCCACCGTTGTGGCTTGGACTTGAAAATGTCCCCCGACCGGCGCTGGCCTGGGGGTCGTTCAATCCGGTGCTTGGGTTCGATTGGCCTCTCGAGGAACCGCTGCCGGAAATTCCAATGGAGTCAGCAAGGGACCCGCCAGGATTGCGAGCACAGCCTTTATCATTGTGATTCGCACACATGTCCCGGGGTTTTCCACACACCTGGCCTGCCGATTGCTCCTGGAGTTGGCCTCCGGGAGCGGCCACCTCCCCCTCGTTCCGTGGGGCCCGCCGGCTCCATTCGGGACACCGCACGTGTGCGTGAATGTCGCTCGCGGCGAGCGCGAAAGCGCAGATCGCTGACATGGCGGCTTCTCGGAGTGCCGAGAGGTCGTCGTCGACGTCCGACTCGCCTCCGCCGTCTGGCTCAACAGCAGAAAGACGGCGACTTGTTGACCTCAAGACCTCTGGGCTTTCTGTTGTCCTCGGACTCCCAAGTGTTGTTATTGTTGTTGCGCTAGTCGCTGCTGGCGAGTTTTTGTTGTTGCCGTTTCCATTAATCACCCTATTACCTAGCAGGGAGGCCGAGACTGAGGCGGGGGTGGATACGATATCGACCAGAACGTCAAGGATCTGCTTGGTGCAGTACTCGAAGTCATCATCCTCCAGCGTCTTCAGAACACCTCTCCCCGCCTCCTTTCCCTCCTCCTCCTCCTCTCCCTCTCCCTCCCCCTCCCCCTCCCCCTTTACCTCCCCCTCCCCCTCCTCCCATTCCTTCTCGTCGGGCTGCCATGGCAGCAATGACAGCCCGGCCGTGAAGCCTGCCAAGATGGAAGCGGCGAGTCGTACCTCTTGGGAGTTGCGAGGACAGCACTCGAGAACCTGCAACATTACCAAATAGCCCTGAGATTGAGCGAAGTCCCGACAAGCATCCAGATCCCTTGTGCACCGACTTGCCTGTGGCAGGTTCATCTGCTCGGAAACGAGCAGTTCCACCCCTTGAACCTTCTTCCCTTTGGCCAGCTCCTCAAGGGCTTCGAGGGCCAATCTCGTCTCTTCCGCCACCCTGCCCGCAGACATGCCTATCAAATTCCCTCTGACAATTTGCAGTAGCTCCTCCACATCGTGAAACCAATGGCATTTTAACCCACACCCTCCCTGGTCCGACTGCGCATCTGCCGACGTGTAAGCGCTGTGTCGTTGACAGTGCACGTGCCATACGACCGCCAAGTCTATCTCTCTCTGCAGCCGCTCTAATCTCTCCCAAAGAGACCCCCTTCCGTCGAGAAACGGCTTGCCGAGAGCATCATTCTCGTTCTTGCCTCCCCCCCCCCCCGAAGACCCCTCCCTTGCTGGCCTTGATTTGCGTCTGGATCGGGATTGCGATCCTGGCTCATCCGAGTCCGAATGATGGCGGCAAGGGAGCAAACACCACCAGCCATTGCCGTTGCACTTGCCGCAATTGCGACCGGGTGTGGTGAACTGCCTGTGCAGCGAGCAGAGGAAGGAAAGATACACGACCGAAGCTGTGAGGATAGAGTAGAGCAGCACGCACACGCAGGTGATGACAACGAAATCTCTGAGGCGCTGGGCAGTGGTCTTGTCGCCCTCGCAAATCGTACCTAAATCTTTCAAGTTGCCAGCGGCTGGATTCCCGCCGTTGTCGTCGTCGGGGTCCCGAACCGAGCGATAGAGATCCCAACCGATGTACAGCTGAAGGGCGAGGGCAAGCTGACGTGGCAGCGGCCAAGTCCAGGTACCCACGTGGGCGAAGATCCGTCTGGTGTTCAGTGGAATCAGTGCATAAGAGGATCGACCGGCGAGAGAGCCGCCGCCAGCAGACCCTTGTTCATTTTGAATGGTGGCGATTTGGGAGCAAGAGAGGCCGTCGATGCACTTGCTGCGAATAAACGAGAAGCCTTTGTAGAAAGCAGTGAGAAAAGCGAGGATAAAGCAATCGAACATAGTTTTCGAGTCCATGGACGGTCCGAAGGAACCCAACACGAGCATGAGCATCGTCAGAGCAATGTAACCCATAATGTTCTCCATCAACTCCAGCATCACATACGTTCCAACCTGATGCTTCAACGTCGGACATATTCTGTAAACCATGTTTACGCTCTCTACTGTCTCTCTCCCAATTATACCACCTCTCTCTCTCTCTCTCTCTCTCTCTCTCTCTCTCTCTCTCTCTCTCTCTCTCTCTCTCTCTCTCTCTCTC